GCCACCCCTCAGCTCTGTTTTCCATGGGCAGGGGAGGGACCTGGGAGAATGAGGGACCTCAGGCCCACCAAGGAACACCACAGCAAACTGCTGGTGGCTGAAAGCTGTCAGGGGATTTCAGAGAGAACAGACCAGGTAGAAAGGTCTACTTTCTAAAAAAATTCCACAAACCTGGAAAAAAACTAAAAGTGACTATTTTCCCCAGGAGAGGGATGACACATAATAGACAAAGCTTCTGATGTAGTCCAGCTAAATGCCAAATAGCTAGGTCTGCTCTGGGAAGGGAGGGAGGGGAGGGAGAGAGAATGAGAGAAAGAAGGTGAGAGGAAGGGAGGAGAGGGGAGGGAGGGCGAGGGAGAAAGAGAGAGAAGAGCATTTTCTATTCCTCTGGTAGCCTCTCTTCCAGGTTCTTATCATGATGGGACACCAGATGTGCTTTAGGGGTGACAATGGAAGAGGGACAATAGAAAGGAAGAGTTTGCGTAATCAGGAAGGAAACCACAGATGACAGATGGGTGTCCTTATCCCTCAGACACAGGTTGAATTCCCAGATCACAGGTCTGAGGAGGCTGAGGTTCTAGTGACAGAAAGGCCTGTGGATGTGTCATCTGGGAGACTGGAAAAGAGCCCCACATTTGTGGACCCCACCTGGTGGAAGCTGGTGAGGGTGCCAGGGAATTAGAGGCACACATAGCTGTGCCAGGTCAGATGAGGATTTTGCCTGGAAACAGAAAGGACGTGCTTAATGAATCAGTCACATCCTGGGTGAGAATGAGAGGGGAGGCGGCTCTGTCAGGAGAGGCAGGGAGCTGCCAACACCACCAGTGTGATGCGGGGAGGAATTTCCACATGCCCCGAGGATACTTGTTTAATTAAAACACTTTATACAACTGTTACCCTGTCACCCCACCACATCCCACCTTCCTGAGAAGAGTGATCTTGCAAGCCCTGGAGGGATGGAAGGAACTGTAGGCCCCTCCTTCCCCGGCTCCTTTTGGGGAGAATGGAAGCAGGTAGGGCAATCGTCTGTAAATCAACAGCTCCCATAAGGAATTGGTATGGACTTGGGGTAGACAGAACGTTTTCATTTCTTGAGCATTACTCCAAAGTATTTATATTCATCTCGGAAGGCTGGATGTAAATCACGACTCGCGTGTTCTAAGCCTGTACATTTCTTTTCTATAGTCAAAGCCAGATGCTGGAAGACAGAAGCAACGAAGGTGACTAGCTCCTTTCCACGTGCTCATGACACAAGAGCAATTTTCCTAAGGCAAAATACAGCTCTTCCAAAGGTCTCAGGGAATTAATAGCTCTGAGAAAAACATCAGGCCTTCAGATTTCAGTTGTCATTGTGTTTGGGAGTCTTCAAAATCTCTCCTGTCAACTCTGCTCAGTCCAAGGATTTCCCAAGTCGGGTACCCCCTCTTCTCCAGCCTCTGAGACAGGTCAGCAACTGCATCCCTCAGGTCTCTTTCCTGCCACTTCAGATGTTCCAGAAAGTTCCCGGCATTTCAGAGAGATGAAGTCTGCGTGCAGGTGTCAGAAATACTCTCGATTAGGTTGTTAAAATCCTCTGAGGAGAGCCTGAGGAGGAGACAAGGAAAAGCATGCTCAGGATTTGTTTTTAAATTAAAGGAGGTGGGGAAAGAGGATGGGAGGGAAAGGAGAAGAACGTGGAGGAAGGTAGTACACGGACGCCAGGCCCGAGCACAGGGATGCTGTTCTCAAGAGTTACTTCCGGGAAACCTGCACACAAATTTCCATTTCAGAGGCTGCTACCAGACAGCAGGACCCAAGACAGGGAGGGGGAGAGTTTGTAGTGTTCTCAGTGAGTAGGACAATTTTTATCAAATATAGAAAAGGCATAAGCCAATGTACATAGCCCTGAGAAACTCTTGGTGGACTCATTACCTATTCAATATTAGTGCACTTTTCTGGATTTATGCATATGTCCTAACTATTTCTAGAGTGTTGTCATGTGGAACCTTCTTGCATCTAAAGCCAGATCACTTAAAAACAATTACAAAAAGGTAACGCTGAAGATTTTATGAGATACCAAGGATTAAGTCACTGAGTTACTTTAACCACGAGTGGCTCTTTAGGCCTTTCAAATGGAAATGATCTCTATAGTTTCTTAATCTTTTTTTTCATTTAGGGTAGTGAATTATTTTTTTACACCCTTGCTCTCTTTTATACCTTGCTGAACTATGTTCTTGAAAATAACGTTTTTATGACTTTTTCATGTGGATAAGGAAGCTGTCCCGCAGAAGGCCTCGGTCCAGGACTAGACTCCCTATGTTCTCACTTGGAGTTTAAGGCCAATTTCTCCAGCCATGTTCCTTCCAGTTAACATGCAGTGTACCTCCTGGACATTTCTAGAATGTTCAAGAAAAAGTATGTTTAAATGAACCTACTATTTCTCTTCAAAACCTTTGTTTTCAGACATACATTTATTCCCACACCACACACATGCTAACGTTTGCTTCTGTAGTTTCTCCTCTATCCCATCATCCTTTCCATTCAGATAATGACGACTGCTCAAATGAACAAGTTAGAGAAACACGGACCTACTATTTCCAGGTACTATTATGAATTTTAGAGGCTCATGGCATTGCACATGGTACTGTCTTGCAAAGTACCTCAGAGCATGGACAGAAGCCCCTCAGTCTGAGTTCAAATCCCAGCTCTATCACTCACCAGCCTTGGGCAAGTTCTTTAGCATCTGTGCCTCAATTTCTTAACCTGTTAAATGGAGACAATAAAATCAGTACTAATCTCATAGGGTTGGTATAAGGATGACATGAATTAATTCTTGTTAAGTGCTTGGACAGTGCCTGGCACAAGGTCACACTACAATATTAAGTCACAGACCTCACCGTGAGCACACATATTGCTGTCTCCTTCAGAGACCACGGTGGTTATTAATGAGCATATAGCCAGCAAAGCTTCTCTTTTCCCCAAATTTTAATGACACGAAGAAAGGGAAAGGAGAGAGGGAAGGGAGGGGAGGGGAGAAGAAGGATGGATGGAGGGAGGGCAATTAGTGGGACCACACCTACGGTGCATCTTACAAGTGTACGTGTGAAATTTACTAGGTGTAGAATATAAATGTCTAAACACAGTAACTAAGAAAATGCCATGAAGGCTATGTTAACCAGTTTGATGAAAATATTTCAAATTGTAGGTAAAACCAGCACATTGTACCCCATGATTACATTAATGCACACAGCTACAATTTAATAAAAAATAAAAAATAAAAAATAAATCAATGGCGGTATAAATCTCATTGCTCATTTGCTGAGACCAAAATAAGATGTGGACTGATTCCAGCCAAGGAGGAAGAACAATTATTTCGCCTCTTTCAGTTTTCATTGGCTTAACATCTTTTGCTCTATCATACTTACCAGGTCTCTCTCACTCAAGTAGGAACAATTATGTAATTAGTGAAAGCAACAATTTTGCAGAGAAAATGTTTATGTGTTTATGGAAGTTTGATAGCTCAACATGTGTAAGGAAATCATTTGCTGGGCCTAGAGAAAGAAGAACTGGGCTCTGGCTAGTTCTTGACAGAACTAGAGACAGCTGAGAAGTAGCCACTATAAAGAGGACCATTTGGGGCACTGCCTGGATGCCAGGTGCCCACTTCTGGGCCTTGGCGCCCATCTCACTTTCCACTGTGTTGACACAGAGCAAAATAAGCGGCAACAGTTCCCAGGAGACAGACAGTACACACACAGCCTAAACAGTCTCATCACTGATCTTTGCTAGATTTACATCTTTGCTCTTTCCCCAATTCCGCAGAAAACGTTCAGGTCATTAGAGAACACTGAATCTAGTTATTACTCTCTGAGAACCTATCGTGATATCCAGGGGTTAGAATATTCATTTGACTTCCTTTAGCAACAGGACAGAAGTACAATAATGTGTTTTATTTTGGAGCGTGTAGTTTGGTTCGCTATAATGGCAGGATGCTGCCCACTCTCTGTGCCCACCCAGACCAGCAGGCCTTCCAAACACCACCTCAGTTCAGGAGGACATTCTTTCCAGAGAATTCCTTCTTTGCGTTAGTGGATGTATTGGCCAAGGGAAGAATATATTTAGAGATCTGCAGTTAGACCAAGGACTTGGCTACTTTGTTTTTAAACTGCCATTATTTTTTAAAAGTTCTATGGCTTTGACATCAAATCAATATCAGGAGAATACCAGAGGCCACTGCTACAATTCGCTTTTCATAATACGTTTTCTCCTGCTTGAAAGTATACCAGACTGGCAGAATCTCCTCTGGGGCTTTCCCTGGACACCTTGCTTGGCCTATTGCATGGCCACCTTGTTTTGTTTATCATCAGCATCTCTGATCAGGGCACAGAAGGAGGAGAGAGAAACGAAGCAGCCTGAAACAAGCCCTCCTTCAGAATAGACAGAGGAATGAAGTTTGTGCATTTAGCTGGGGGTAGTAGGCAAAAGGGTTCTAGATGAGAAGATGGGTAGCAAAATTTCTTCACTATCCTGAAGCCACACGAGCATTCAATGTAGAACCCCATCTGTTTTGTTAAATTGACAATTTCCTTCAGCAGGAAATAAAGGCTCAAACTGAGTTTTAGACTAGCTACAGAGTGAGAAATAGCTTCACTTTTTAAAGACTTTGCTTTTTAAGACATTCAGCATGTAACCTAATTTCATTTGATGGAGTTTGTTTTTTTCTTCTCCATTTGCTGCCTAGAAATGTGTTTCATTATCTCCTGCAGAACTGGGCTTGGGAGGGAGCTAGAGAGCTCGAGTTCCCTGGGCCTCAAGAGCACTAAAAAATAAAATAAAACAGTATTAAATAAAATTAAAATATATTACAGGATCAGCCATGGCAGTAGATTGTCTCAAATACTTTATGCTACACAGCTGTGTTAAGTGAGGGGCGCTGACTGGACCCCTTCAATTTCCATTGCAGAGGCCTAGAGAGCAGATCAAACTCCGAAGAGCAGATGATAACACAGTAGCACAAACCGAGACATGGGCAGATTTTATCTGAGGGAAAGTAGTTTTTATTAGAGGGAAATTTATTTTATCTGCTAGAGTTTCTTTTAGGATACAAACATGCCACTATGTTGTTACAGATTTTTAAAATTCAAACCTTCCAAAGTGTTATAACGTCAAGGTTGGACTTTATCAAGTAATTAGAATGGAATATGATTTTCTGGATTAAAAAGCACCAATTTAGAAACAACTTTTTGAATATTGATATGAGAAGAAAATACACACACAGGCAATTTTAGAGCATCAGCTTTTTAATTTAGAAAGAGTAAGCAAGCTGTAATCAGGGAGAAAAGACACACACCCCCATCATAGAGTCTCTCAACAGCATGAGCGGTCAATGTGGCTCCTGGTGCCCCCAGCAGATGGAAATGAACCTATTTGATATCACACAAAAGGGCCACTCCTCTCAGGATCCAGTGATCTGGGGACAGCACTGTTCGCAAATACACCACAGTGATGAAAGTCAAGTCAGTGCGCCTGGGTTTCTTATAAATAGGACACACATACAGCTTGGGGTCCTTGGGCGCCGTGGAGTTGATGGCAAAGATGTGCAGCACAGGCAGCTGCGTGAAGAGCACCTTGGGGGTGGATTCTGTGAGCTTCCCATTCCGTCTGTCCCAGGCCGCTCCGTCCATGTACAGCCCATAGATGTACACACCTTCCTGGGAGAGCCAAGCAGAAGGTAAAAGGACTTTTTAAAAAATGAAGTGCTGCAAGATGGACCTCCATTAATGTGATAAAGATGGTCAGTTTGCAATGAAAACGTACACCAATTTTAAAATGCTAACAGATAAAGAAAACATCACTGGGTGCGGTGCATTAGTGAGACACTGAGCCCAGCCTCCAGAACCCATCCTGTTATTGGTTATTTGAGTGTGTAGGGGTGGCCTGCCTGGGCAACAGACTCAACTGGCAGCACCCAATCACCTCTGCAGGGAGCTAAAAGTCTCTGAGGGGTCTGGTTTTGAGTTGGTGTAAGGTGGGAATGTGAAAAAGGATTTGGAGCTGGTCAAACATGGGATCTCAGCCTGCCCTGGTCAAGCCAACCTAGTAGGCTCAATTTCCTTTCAGTCGGTGAAGTGAGATTTGCCACAGCCAACCCTGGCCAGCAGGGAGTCAGAGCACCCCCTGAGGACAGGTTGAAGTAGAGCTAGGGTGCGCACAGAGGCGGTGGGGTGCAGAATTGTTCAGCGGCGTCTGAACGCCCTCCCCACCGTCTCTCATACTGTAAGACTTGCCTTTGAGGACCTCACCATTTAATTGTGGATACAGGACACACACTGACACAGGACAATTTTTAAAAAGACAGGAATTGAACAGCAGCACCCACTTGTTTCGGGGGCTGCCTGGAGAGCAGCACTGAGGGTGTGGGCAGTGACTCCTGGGGTGAAACATCCCTGTGGGCTTGGGGTCCTTAGTGGAGGGCTAGTCTGGAAGGGTGGGCTGTGCTCAGGAAGACAGAGGAAAGGAGGCAGGCGCCCCATGCAATAATACAAAGGGGGCAGGGTGAGTGGAAAAGGCCGAGCATTTTATTTAGCAGATGGTTTAGTAGTTGTAAAAAAAATTGGGGTTTGACTATGGGAGAATCTGGATGCCAAGCTGAAGGGTTTGAACTTTACCTTGTAGGCGGTAGGAAGCCGCAGAACATTTATTTATTTAAAAAATGGAATCCTGGGAGGAAGCTCAGGGGAAGCCCCAATAACCCTGCAAGCTCATAAAATATGTTCATGTACAAGATGGCGGCCATTTCTCCATTTCAAGTGAGGGTCAGGTAAGGGAAGGAAATGTAGGTTATCATAAAAGATAGTAATATTACTGTGCCCTCTAGTATAAAGATCATGGGGGTTTTCTAGAGACAGTGTCTCAGTTGGTCACCTAGGCTGGAATGCAGTGGCAGAATCACAGCTCACTGCAGCCTCAAACTCCAGGCCTCAAGTAAACCTTCCACCTCAGCCTCCCAAGTAGCTACCACTATAGGCATAAGCCACAGGTCAGGCTAATTTTTAAATTTTTTTGTAGAGATAAGTTCTTGCTATGTTGCCCAGGCTGGTCTTAAACTCCTGGCCTCAAGGGATCCTACCACTTTGGCCTCTCAAAGTGCTGGGATTATAGGCATGAGCCATCACATCAGGTCAAGAACTGTATTTTTTGAACCAAAAACTAAGGCACATGGTTTGACGATAAAACCATGGGCAGTCTCAGGGCATTCAGTTACCACCATTAACTCAGTGGGTGACAATAAACTGCATGAATAATGTGACCACTCAAAAGCCATCAGATAGTAAACTGTTATACCTCTCTTGGGTACTTTCAGTATCAGAACTTTAAAAAGTCATGGAAGGTGTGATAAATAGAATAGTGTCACCCAAAAATTCATGTCCACCCTAAACCTCAGAATGTGACTGTTTGGAAATAGGGACTCCACAGATGTGATCAGGTTAGATAAGTACACACTGAATCAAAGTAGGCCCTAAATACAACGTGACTGGTAGTTACATAAGAAGCAGAACAGACACACAAAGACAGGGAAGAATGTGTGGATGGAGGTAGAAATTAGAAGGACACGGCTAGAAGCCAGAAAGTGCCAGTAGTTGTCAGCAACCTCCAGAAGCTGGGAGAGAGGCAAGAAACAAGATTCTCCCTCAAATCTCTAGAAGAAACTGACTCTACTGCGACTGGGACATCTGGTCCCCTAAACAGTGAGAAGATGAATTCCTGTTGCCTTTAGTCACTCAGTTTATGCCTTAGGAAATGACTACAGATTTTGATACTAGGATGTAGGATGCTATTATAGCAAATACCTAAAAGACTGGAAGTGATTTTGGAATTGCATAATAGGTAGAGGCTGGAAGGATTTTGAAATCGCTTTGCAGTGATTATTGGTGGAAATAAGGAAGTTAAGGTGCTTCTGGTGAGGTCTCAGGCAGAAATGAAGGACGTGTTCCTAAAGCCTGGAGGAAAGGCAACCCATGTTACAAACGGTTGGAAAGCTTGGCAGGAACTTGGAAGTCATCTGGTCCAGCCCCTTTATTTGACAAATGAGGGAGAGAAAATCAGAAAAGGGGAAAATGGGACCAAGACTTATTGGGAGTCTACACGGGGTCCTGCACAAAGCCTAAGCAATCACGTTTACATTCTCACGACTCCTTGGATAAGGCTGAACGATCTTGCTCACTTTAAAGATAAAGAACTGGCCCGAGTTCATTGGGTAGAACAGTGTCAGGCAGGGGCTCTTCCTGCAGCCAGGCACCTTTCCACCCAGGGTCTAAAGCTAGTGAGGACACCACGGGAACCAGCCTCAGAGCCCCAGCCTGCTGGCCCTCTTAGTCTCTGCTGCCCTCGGAGCTGCTCTGCTGCCCACAGCTGATTCTGTGAGAGGCCACAACAGTAGCCAAGGATGTGTCAAAGATGCTTTTTAGCAAAGACAAGCATAACTTGTACTTTATAAAGAAATGCAATCTGGGGAGTCCCCAAAACTCGCTGGACCTTGCCATTAATCTACTCCTACAGATGAAGAGGGCTTTGGCTTTGTGATCTTCTGGTCATGACAATGGGAACTCTCACTGCAAAGCCAATGGATTTAACTAAGGCACAATAACTCAGTTGTAAGCAGAACTTGAACTTTCAGCTCCAGAACAGTCCTTGCTGGTGCCCAACAGTGCCTACCGCAGGGGGTGTGGTGATCTCTTCCTTGGTCTGTCGCAGAACTTCGTTGTGGATGGTCACAGTGTCCAGTGCCCAGCCTTTGTGGGCACGAGTCACTTCTTGCCTCATTGCTGTGAGGAAGCCTTAAAAAAAAAAAAAATGGAAAGAAAAGATTTAGATGCCTTGGTGCAGTCCACCTTAGAAACGAGGGAGAAGGCAACAGTATTAAGTGTTACTTGCTTATCAATCTCCAAACATCGTGTCCATCCCAAGAGGAGCTGAGACCATCCCCAAAGGGACATGTCCCTCTGTGCTTTGTTTCTAGGGGGACCTGCAATGAGCTAAATCTTTCTTACCAGCTGACAGCAAGAAAGCAGCACTTTTTCTGTGTCAGACTGGGCTTTGCCTTGAAATGCTCCCAGGATTTCAACTGCTCAAATCCTAAAGGACTGTAACCCAGTCTCAGCTCATAATCTCTATGTGAAAACACAACATCGAGGAATGAGACCGGAATGGTGAACTATTCTGAGAACAGCATTCCAATTAAACTTGAATCAAACCATTATCAAGCTTCTATTTGCTATAATGGAACAATTTCATTTAGTCCAAGGAAATAAGGCATAATGCCAAAATAGAAAACCTGACTTTCAATTTGATCAAGGCAATCACACTGGGGAGGAAAGTTACATGTGTTAATGTACACAATGCAGTCATTTAAGACAATACGTTCCATGCGCTGTGCCCTTTCTTTAAACTTCTTTAAACTTAATATTTGCAAACCATGCTGTTCATTCCATTCAACAAGAGAAGCCTTTTTTGGAGAGTTGCATTTGATGTTAGAAAAAAATACCCTAGACTTCAAAAGCTTAAGAAAACTTATCTGTGACCTATATGTTATATTTTGGCCTCCATGTCAATATTGAAAATCATGAATCTCTCTAGTGAGTAAAACTGTGGAATGTTCATCCTTGGCACTCCTAGATTACTGAGTTCTGAAAGCCAAGCCGACACACAAGTGATAACATTTTATTAGGTCTAAATGGGAGTGGGATAAGGGGGGAGTTGAAAAGCATAATTACAAACACTGAGTTAAGATCCCTTGGAGTTGGCTCAGTGCCTATAGCTCAATGGTTAGGGTGCCAGCCATGTACACCAGGGCTGGCAGGTTCAAACCTGGCCTGGGCCTGCTAAATGACAATGACAACTATAACAAAAAAATAGCTGGGCATAACAAAAAAATAGCCAGGCGTTGTGGTGGGTGCCTGTAGTCCCAGCTACTCGGAAAGCTGAGGCAAGAGAATCGCTTAAGCCCAAGAGTTTAAGGTTGCTGTGAGCTATGACACTACAGCACTCTACTGAGGATGGCAGAGTGAGACTCTGTCTCAAAAAAAAAAAAATCCCTTTAAGTTGGAAATAAGGAATAAGGCCCTAGTCTGGCTTTGCTGAGGAAGTCAAGTTCTGCCCATTATTAAATTAGACACTTGGAGAGGCACTCATTCGTTCATTCATTTGTCCAATCTATCTGAAGTGGCCACCATGTACCAGGTACTGCTCTGGGTGGGATGGCCGCAAAGATGAAGAGGCCATTCATGGACCGTACATTCTAGAGGGCATGTGGAGGGAGGCAAGACACTGACACGGTGTCCTTATGAACAAAGCTAACCACTTGGGAGGACAGCTTAGGGAATGGTGTAACTCCGCAGGTGTAATGGAGACAATGGAGTTGAAGGTGACTTGAAGGACATGTAGGCGTTTGCTGGATGGGACAGTTCCAGTTAGAAGAACAGCACGTGCAAAGGCGTGGGGGCCTGGGAGGGCAGGTAAGGTGCTGGTATGACGTTTTCCAGAGTCAGAGTTTGGATTTGATTCTGTGGATGGTGAAAGGCACTGAATATTTGAAGTAAGCAAATGATTTGGTTGTCCCTCATCTCAGAAAGCTTACTCAGAGTGCTCTCTCAAACAGGATCTGGGGTGCTAAAGAAAGGCCCTTACATTAATCCAAAAGAAAAGTTGATCAATTAACTAGAGGAGCTGAGGAAAGCACTTTTATAGGAGATTCTTATAAAGCCGTAGTTCTGAGACACCAGGAGTGCCTAATAGGAAAGGATCCTTTCATGACACCAAATGGTGACTACAGAGGGCAGAAAACACAGTGGAAGTTTGCCTGGCAGCAACTGCCGGTCAGTGCCTGTCCTGTACTCTGCGTGGAGTCGTCTGAGTGATTTGATCAGCATGAGATTACACTAACTTCCATGATAAGCACAGGGGATCCCCTGCTTTGGTAATGAGACTTTTACGTATTTGCCCGGCATTGACAGATATGACTACAAGAACAAATCCCAACTCTCCCTTCTGAGTCATTCCATGGAAATATCATTTTCACTATTGAACCTGAAGTGTGCATCCATGAGGTGAATTAGACATGGCATATCCAAATAGAGTATTTGGAATTGACCCCATTCTATGGTATTTTAAAATTCATCACTGATATATAAATCTACAAGGTCATAATGTATAAGCATGAATCCTAGTCTTAACCATCCATCTGCACAAATTGAATAATTGAGTCTATAACATTTTAAGTTCCAACTAATTGCGAATTTGACCCCACTCCACGTGGGACTCAGGATGATACCACAGGAGCTGTACTCCCTCGTGAGTAGCACACTTGCTTCAAAGACTTTGGTCATTGCCAGCTTTGAAAAACTGTAAGGAGAGACTATTTCCTTTCTTCTCCCTACTAGCAAGTATGCATACATGATGTTATCCAGCCGACTTCAGCAATAAGCCTTCTAATGCTTCGCAAGCCCTCTTAGTATGCCAATAGCAGGAATCTAGGACACACTATGACACCTTCCCCGATTAGGAAGGGAACTGCTCCATGGGCCATTCCTACATTCACAAACACACACAAGATATATATTTTTTCAATTCTTGACGGTTTTGTGTTGGAGGGTAGTGAATACAGTGGACTGTTCATTATTGAGTTTAAAATGAATGACCTCCTTTCTTCTGTGAGTAGACTAATATCAAGTCTAATGGAATCAAAATCTGTTTCTTTCTGAAGCCTGCATAAAAGGGTATTGATACATTTTTCTTTAAAAGAGCTGTGTTAATTCCTATACTAGTAGTAATCCAACATTTTAGCATACTAATTACTGTTGTTTAACTTGCACAATCAGTTGCTTAAGAAACCTGTACAGTGTTTTTAAGTATCATTTCACACAAAGTCTTAAAAAGATGAAAGAAATAACTAATCAGGAAATATGCTATTCTCAAGTGTATAAGGAGTTGGTTAGTATTCTGTAATGATGGTCCTATGCCCAAAACAGGCAACTTTTATTTTCTTTAATAAATGAACTGGTTTTTATGTTGTGGGCCTTAGGTTGTGTAATATTTCCTGTCTAATCAGTTTCAAAGCCTCTCCGTAGCATCTTTGAAGATGAGGAGAAATGATGTTCCTGCCACAAGTTCATGACAGGCAGTTTTTTCCCCAAATGAGAAGCAAATTCAGTTCATTGGTAAGTTAAATAAAAGGTCAGATATCATTAAACAAAGATGGGGTTGATCAACCCAGTCGAATAAAAATGCCCCAAGCACCTCTCCTGACTCTTTGCTAGATGCTGTGAGGCAGGGACCTCAAACTGCTGAAAATTACAAAGACCCAGGAAGCTCCTAAAACTCCCCATTCCCAAGTCACAGCCGAAATCAATGAAATCAGGATCTCTGGAGGCGGGAGCCAAGCATCAGTGTTGTTTTCAGGCAGGCATGGCTTCTCCAACATCAGGGTTCATAGGAATCACCTGGGGAAGGGGATGTAACGAAAATGCAAGTTCTGAGTCTGTGGGTAGATCAAGAGTTCTGAGATCTGAAGTTGTATCCAGTTCCCAGGAGATGTTGATGCTGCTGCCGGGCGGACCAGATACTGAGAAGCAGAAGTCTATGGTCAAGATTCTTCACACATTAGAATGCCTAAGAGAGCTTTTAAGAAAATTGATTGTATGGACCCTCAAGGACCCATTCCCAGAGATGCTGGTGTAACTGTTCTGGGCCCCCAGGCCTTGGTACGTATTAAAAGTTCCCCAGGTAATTTTACTTTGGACAAACTTCTGAGAATCACCTCTCTGTAAAAAGCTATGCAAGACAGGTCATAGAAAGCCACTGACTCATATTTGTTTTAAGAACTAATTTTTAAATGAGAAGAGAAAGGCTCATAGTAGGAGTATGATACTAGGAAAGCTGAAGGTAGGATGAGCTGGCTCCTTGCAGAGGTATCCTGTGGCCATGGGCTGTCTGCAGATTATTTGAGGACTTTTTTGCCTATCTGTGGTGTCAGATACTGCAAAGATTATGCAAAAACTGGGGTTTTTTTGTTTGTTTGTTTTTTGTTTTGCTTCTCAGCTTTCTTAGTGTTTGGGTATTTAATGTGTAGCCCAAGACGACTCTTCTTTGTCCAATATGCAGCAGAAAAGAAAAAAGATTGGGCGCCCCTATAGGGCCTCCTGAGATTCATGCAGTCTCTGAAATGTTGATTCCAGCACAACTTGAATAAAAATAGGAAACCACTATAATTCCCCTGTCAACGTTGAGACACCCACACATCCCACATTACAGAATGAAATTCCCTGCACTGGTCTGTCTTCCTTGTGCTGGTTTATGCTTCCTTTCCCTTAACCAACCTCCCACTTCTTCCCCGTCTCCCAGACCTTTCCGCTGCTCCCTCTGGCAGAGTTCATTGACAAACTCCCCCAGTTTCCACCTCTTCACAGAGCACTCTCTCCACCTTCTCGCCCATACTGGAACCTGGATCAGCCCTAAAGACCTGGCCCTTTTCAGTTCCTCCACCCTCTGTGAGAATCTCTGCCATGCTGACGACCACAGCCTCCGGCCATGTGACCCTCCATCATTGTCCTTGCCATCTGCCCATCTGCCCACCTTTACTAAGCACCCTGGCAACAAGGAAATGGAGAGACAGAGAATGAGGAAGAACAACATGAATAATTCTCTCCAGACATTAGGCTTTGAAGAGGAGAAGAGCAAGTTGAAGGAGTAGGTCTAAGAAGACAGGGTTTTCTATCTTTCTCTTCTAAAGACAAAATAGGCTTGAGCATTGAACATTGGTGGGAAGGCGCAGGAGAGAGAG